AGAAGAAGAAGAAGAAGAAAGCTAGGCGCTTTCTGCACTTACCTGGCGATGGCTGAACTTGCAGGTACCGTGGAGCCAGCTATGGCGCTGGTACTGGTAAGTCCTCTTCTCTCTCTCTCTCTCCCTCTCTCTCTCTCTCTCTCACTAACTCCACTACTCTCCTCGGCGCTGGACTCCTCCAGCGCTGTGCCTCATTGCCGATGAGCAGCGCAGCTGCAGTCTCGAAATAGCGCAGCGTGGAGTCTCCAAAATAGCGCAGCAGCCAAGTTCCTGAACCAGCATAACGCTAGATTTCTCCTGGTACCTCCTGTGTACGAACTGGACAATGGCCCAGCTTAAGTAGCGCTGGGCCAGGACTGAAAACCCACGGCCTGGGTTCTGGACCGTGCAGATTGAAACTCTGATCCACGGTCCAGATCACAGGCTTCGAAAACTGGTTCAGTCCTTGGCCTAAAACGGCCTGCCTGGGTCCCTACCGGACGTCCAGACCCTGTCCAGGATTCAGTTTCCTGGTACCTGGCTTCGAACCGGTCCTGTGCGGACGTACCCGGCCTCAACGTCAGCCTGGGTCCGAACAGGTCAAAATCTGTTCGAAAACAAAAGAAAAAGGTCCAAACGTTTTTAGGAGCTCAGCCTCTGGGCCTGAATCTGGCCCTGGTCCTAAAACGTGTACCTGGCCACAAAACGGACAACAGTACAACCGTTAGAAAAACAGCAGCAAATAATAAAATAAAGACTATAAAAATAATCTAAAGCTGGCGTTTTTCTGATGCAGGCCCAAGTAAAAATGCCATAGGGCCTTCAGGTTGCGGTGACGCGACCTGGGGGCCCTATTCCAACCTCGGGTCCCGAGAGGGGCCCGTGTGTAGGCTTTCAGCATGTAACAGGCAGTGAGCTCTTTCCTTTGTGGAATGAGCCTCGCTGCTCTGGTGGCCTGACTGGCCTGGGCCTCTGCCCAGAAGCTTCCGGTAGGCCCCAGGAGGCTGTGCCTTTTTTGCAGCTGCTGGGCCTCATTCGGTTGGGCCTCCCAACTGTCTGTGTATGAGGCTGCGAATATCGTCCAGGGCCTGCATCGTTTTGGAAAGGCCTGGAAGGCCGTGGAGTGTCTCTCTGCTCTGCCTGTGTTTTCCCTCAACCAACTGGCGCGACAAAACTACCTGGACCCCAAATACGAAATTGACAGCCGAGGGCCTTTCGTGATTTGTTAGGCCCGCCTTCACTTAGGGCGGGCACAGATGCAACAGGGCCCCTTAGACCTGCCGAGGACTCAGATCCGCGCATTATGTTCTAATAGAAAATAGGAAAAGAAATTGAAAATTCGTTACGTTGGTTTTGCTGTTCCCAGACATCATTACTTCTTTAATAAAAATTGTTTATTGCACTATAATCTGTTCCCTCAGGCTTTCCCTCAGGCTGTGGAATTGACAGTTACAGATAACTGGTCTGTTGTGCAGCATTTTGACGAGCAGACATGGCTTTCCTTGGTAACTCTTTGCATGCATCCATTATGACTAGATATATAGTGCTCTTTTTCTACCCTCTCTCCTTTTCTATGTCTGCTAATGAGGAAACTGTCAGAACAAGACAACACGCAGGTGCTCAGGCAGAGCAGCATGTGATCGGTATTGTTGATTTGCAAACAGCAGAGGACAAACTGGCCCAGGCCGAAATGGGAACATACATCGTGGCCGCCAGCAGGGAACTGTTGCGGGCCATGGACACGCCCATTTCCTGGACCGGTTTGTCGCTGAATGATTGCAAGAAATAAACCGGCAACAACAAGAGAGAGGAAAAGAAAGAAACGCACACCAGAAAAGCCAAGCAGTTATGATAAGGTCAAGTCGGAATTAAATGTAGATATATTGGATGGAAATATTGAACAATTGGAACGGGCACTGATAGCAGAGAAGGCAAAGAAGGCAGACTAACTGAAACAACAGAAAGAACAGGAGACACAAGACGAAAAACTGAGGGAAATAAAACAGAAATTTAAATGGGAACAGGAAGAAGAAATGGACGTGGCATCCATGATATAAAATGTAATGATTTACCTGGCCCACCTTGAGGCAAGATTGGACCAAGCCATTGCGGCACTCTCCATGGTGGCCAATACAGTCAAAGAACAACAAGACAAATGGAGAGGAAAAGAAAGAAGAAAGACAAATAAGGGCGGCGAAAAGGTAATGAGGGATGACACGAAAAGTGCTCGTCCCATGGAAAGTGAAAGTTCGAAAAGAAGGAGAAAGTGAAATTGAAACTGCCTTTTACATAGATCGGAAAGAAGGGAGAGAACCTGCTATTATGGACGGCAGAAGTCCAAACTTATTGCTCTACGGCCCAGGGTGAAGAAGACAGCCAGGTTGCCTTTACGACCTCATGTCTTGGTGAGGACGCCAAGGCATAGGTTCTAGCTGAGGCAAATGCTGCTGGCCATGAGTATATTGGAGATTGGGCAAAGATATTGACGCTCAAAGAATTTTTGAAGAAATTAAAGAACAGTTATTGGACAAAACAACCTTCTGTACATCTACTCCTGGCCTTGCCTGAACCAATTAGTGGACAGCTAGCCGCAGAGGCAAAGTCTGGTAAGTACACCTACCGCCAGTTCAGAGCGTGAGCAAGTGACGTCGCAGGTTATGTATGCCGGTGTGGTTAAGGGGGGACATCAGGGTGGTACGGGCAAAAGAATTTTGCGGAGGCAGAAATGGCATGACCACCTTCTTGTCGTTTTTGATGATGAAAGTATGGAGAGGTGGCCCCTCGAGGGAAGTGAAAGGCCTTCCACGATGCAGACCCCAATTTCGAATCTCAGGGTCAAAGCCTTAGGCCAGAAAAGGGCCAAGCCGGCCAGTTTCAGAAAGGTCGCAGTCGGGTACCCCCGCGGTCAATTCCAACAGGTACCCGGTGGAGAGTCACATCCCAGAGGCAAAAGTTGCATTCCATAAGCAAAAGCAACATCTCATGTCGAAAGGTCACATCCCACAGGCAAAGGACACTTTTCCAGGCAACAGTCGTGTCCCACAGGCAAGAGTCACATCTCACAGTCAAAAGTCATATTCAACAGGCAAGGGTCACGTTCCACAGACCCAAAGCAGCAGCACACCAATGAAAATTCGGGACAGTACCGGGCCTCACAGTCTGAAGCAAAACAGGCCGTGGGCATGTGGTACCTGATGCAAGTCAAGCCAAAGGAAACAGAGGCTGGGGCGAGTGAAGGCACAGTCCAAGTCTACATCTACACCTACTATAAGAACTGCTAAACGTCATATCTCACGGCCTGAATCGCAGGCCGGTAACGCGCCGCGGACGGCCCAGATCGCAGGCCGATCAGAAAACTTTCTGATCGGCCTGTGATCTGGGCCGTCCGCGGCGCATTACCGGCCTGCAATTCGGGCCGTGAGATATCGGGCCGAGATATCGCTACCGGAGGCTACCGGAGGCGCCCGTTCGCCCGCCCGTCGGCCCGTACTCGTGGCCGCCCCCCCCACTCCACCCCACCCCACTCCGTCAAGCTCAGTACCGAATCGCCCGCGCGCCCGTGTTTTTTTTTTTTTTCCTGATCAGAACAGATACTACACTTGCCACGCCCGTTTT